GAAAATGAAGAGTGCAATTTCAAATAGGGCCACAAGAATTTGCAAGGTATAAAAACGTCCACGCGACGTATTGATTACATTTTTGGTATGTAGCACATTTTGTAATATCACTAGTATTTGCATGGACACGCAGTACTAAAGATCAACAGGTATAAAAGCTTTGCAGACATCAAAGAATTACGCGTATTGCAAACGGCACGGATCCTGAATATTTCCACGCAGGATGTTTATAATTATTTTCAATCTCTATGGTTTTCTAGTGGAATGGTCGAACTACCCGGGCGCTGGTTCGACCCTGCCCCGGCGCCCATCGAGTGTTGTAACACTCTGTGGTCGAGACATTGGTACTAAACTTGTCTGGGACAAGCTCACTTCTTCCAACCCACGAGGTAACCCCTCAGCACATTTATTTCAGGTTGCAAGGGAGAGTGGAGACGACCAACATTCATGACGAACAGGACAAGTCTTCAAGTGCTAGCCGAAGCTACGTGCGAAAAAAGTTCGAAAACTTTCGTAGATGGTGGATGCGAGCGTAGGAGTCGAATTCAAGAAATGCTCGAATCCTCACAGTGTGATGTCGGGCCGTGTAATCATTAAAAAAATTAAAAGTGCTTTTATTCCTCTTATTGGTTACTAAACAAAGAGGTCCGATATGCATTGAATCAGATTTTGAGCAAAAATTCGAAGAGGAATCCGTCCTAAACGATATTTACTGAGTGGAAAATATTATAGGAACTATATCTACTGTTTATGTCTTTCTACTTCTGTTCAGCAAACACGAGGTGCTATTTTATTTCTTTATTTACGCACAAGCTGACGTTTCGGCGGATTTCGCCTTCCTCAGAGCCTGGAAGGATCAACTTGACAGCAATCCATTCGGCCAAACACCTCCATAACCAAACAGAGAAAACGCTAAACCAAGATTTCAATCACATTTAGCATAGCTCTGCACACTCACCGCTTTCTATGAGTCTTCCACTGAGTATGTCGCGTGAAGACCGACAGCACCAAATTCACATGGAAGCGTAATGTGCTCCTTCCATCAGAATAACAGGTTTATATACTGTCCAATATCGCGCGTGATAACGAGGCATTCCTCCCTGCGGTTCATTTTCGGATTCTTGGAATTAATCCAGAATGCCTCTAGAGTTTTGCGCCCTTGTGTTCTCAATTCTTGCGCGAGGATCGTAACCCTTACTTCAAAATCTTCTCCGTTATGTTTCTGCGTGTTATGCGTACCTAGTGGAGTACTTGGCTTACGTTTGCCGACTAGGTGTACTTTTATACGTACGCAGAGCGGTCTACCCGTTTCGCCAACGTATTCATCCCCGCACGCTTTACAAGAGATCAGATAGACTGTACCCGAACTCATGCAGTCACCGTCTCTACCATTGGGACAAATTATGCAATTTTGCGTTGCACACGGTCGTATAGGCGGTTACGAATTAGCTGGCGCCTAAGAGTACTCGGTGGCATTTCAACTACGTTTACCGAATTCTCTAGACCCGCCCTTCTTAAGCAGCGTTTTATAACTGCACTTACTTCGTTGGAGATACAGGGTAGGATAAACGGGACCTTGTTGTCGCTAGAGTTATCGTTGGGGTACCTGTGGTTTCCTCTACACCTATCTCGAGCTACGGTTTCGTAGCCATTAAAAATGGCTATTTGCCGCGCCAAGTTCCAGGACTCCTCTCTGTTGTCTTCCTGTGCACACGCTGGTAGCTGTTCGATACATGTTTCTCACAAGCGCCCTTTTCGTTTGAGAGGGATGAGAGGAGAGGTAATGAACTAGGATGTTTTTACTACTTGGCTTTCGATACCACTTCGTAACGTAGCCGTTTTCTGATAGGCTAATTTGCACGTTCAGAAATGGAAGCCAGTCTTCTTTTGGTTTTTCTCGGGTGAATTTAATATACTCTGACTGTGTGTTCAACAACTCGAAACATCTGTCGATTTCTTCTTGCATTGAACAAATGACCAAACAGTCATCTATATATCTACAGTAGAGTAACGGACCGAGGTCGATTACTGGCGCTTCCACCTTAGACATGAATGAAATGGCAAGGCTTGGTGCCAGTCGTTGTCCCATTGCCAGCCTTCTCATTTGTGCGTAATTCATCCCTGACCATCTGAAGATTGAGCAGTTTAGGCACTCCTTTAAGAGTGTCATCAGCTGCTGAATCGAGAAGCCGTACATGTTTATCGCTCCTTCGTGTTGTATAAGGAGCTCGTTTATGGCTTGCATAGCGGAGTCATTCGACACGTTCGTATACAGGGCAGTGACGTCGAAGGACTCCACCACGTACGCGCTGTTGGGTCGCGCGTTATGTAGACGATCCAGGAACATTTGGGTGTTCGTTAGATGAGCTGGAATGTACTTCAACAACTAAGTATTAGGGTTATTAACCACGTTATCCTACCCGTTGGCCCGCCTACGCAGCTAATGATAGGTCTAACCTTAAATAACGATGGATCGGTAGACACGAGATCATCGCTGGATACTAACTTATGGGTTTTGATAAGCAAGTACAGGACGGGACATGTTGGTAGGTCAATTTTGAGATGAGAGATAACTGATGGTTTCAACCCTACCGCTCTTGCCACTTTAACCCATTCGTTGTTTAACTTTCGGTATTGACTTTTAAATTCCTTCTCAGACGATGGACGATAAAGGGAAGCATCTTCAGGGTGCTTTTCCGTTATCTCAACATCTAGCTGTTGGGGAATTACAACGAACTCTCCACCCTTATCACTAACCGATAGTCTTATGTTTTTTTGGTCTTATCAGCTCTCGTACCTCTCGCATACCACGTTTTTGTATTTCAGTGAGGTTGGAGCAGTATCTTTTAGCGCAATAGTGATTAAGGACTTTGAAAGTCTCATTCGTAAACATCCGAAATTTAACATCAACTTCATTAATGGGCCCTTTTTGTCTAAAGAACGGTTGAGGAAATGGTGGTACTGGTATTGCCCCTACTCTTTGTTGTTCGCGCCTATTTTGCGCTTCATCCCTAGCTTTTTTGCGGAGTCTATCTTGAAGTTCACGTAAACTACATGCGACCCTACGCAAGGTTATCTTAGAAATGGGTTCAGATGGTGAGAAACTCGGCCCCAATTCTAATAACGAGCGCGCACCGTCAGGGAGAGTTATGCCTCCTAACACGGTTAGCCTTGAATTTTCTTGCACATTACCTATTCTAATGTGATCTGTTTGATGTTCTTTAGCCATATTTTTGTGCGCTATTGAAGCTGTGTTAAGCGATTTACTCAAAAGGTCTTCGAATTTTTTCCGCAAAGTTACTTTAGCATTAGACCTAGTAGAGTTGCAAATCAACACTGACCCACCCACTATTCTCCTCCAGAGGCGGTCCTCCAAATACTAAGCACAACAGTTTTCTTTCTTCTCGCACTTCTTCCACTTAGCGAACATCTGGTTTTGTTTGCTTCGTAGACAGGTGCGCAGTACTTGCAATTCGATGTCCAGTACTCGGTGGTCATCCTCTAGCAGTCCGCATACTTCGTGTAGTCGTTTTCTTTTTATGAATTTTGGAACGACTTGGTGTTTTATGCAGCGGCGGAGAAAGTGTATCGCCTGTCGAGCTAAGACGATCTTTTGTCTTAGTGACAATGCTTCTTTTGCAAGTCGGAAATATCTTGCTGGTACATCTTGTAGTAACTCCCAAGTCCGACTTTCTATTAACCTCGGCATTTATTGAATATATCTTTCTACTTCTGTTCAGCAAACACGAGTTGCTATTTTATTTAATTACGCACAGCTGACGTTTCGGCGGATTTCGCCTTCCTCAGAGCCTGGAAGGGCCAAGTTGATAGCAATCCACTCGGCCAAACACCTCCATAACCAAACAGAGAAAACGCTAAACCAAGATTTCAATCACATTTAGCATAGGTTTGCGCACTCACCGCTTTCTATGAGTCTTCCATTGAGTATGTCGCGTGAAGACCAACCGCACAGAATTCACATGGAAGCGTAATATGCCCCTCCCATCAGAATATATTCCATGCTTACGCCGTCTTTAATGAAAACCTACCGCCCTAATACGATTCTATAATTTTAATTATCATTAAACGGTTAAGATTGTGATTATAACAATAGCCCCAGCATAACTGGGCTCAATGCCAATTTGGGCTCCCCAGATCAATCCCGTTTACGGATGATTGCTGATGGCAAAAAGATCGATAGAACTAGCTGAGAAACAGGCGAAACGAAGGACCCGCATGGTGTGGTGGTGAACGCGTTACTCCCCGAAAAAGACAATAGCGCGTTGTTTCCCCACCGCAGACACCTGCGGTCCGGAGTTTTAAAAATATCTCAGCATCATTAAAGTTTTGAAATCGACTACGAACCCAAATGTAAGGACTAGATTTTCTCTAACAAGAAGAAGAAAACAAACTTTGTCACTAAAAGCTGTGAACAAGAAATGAATTGAATATGTGTATAACAACTGCAAGTTCTATGTTAAAAATCATTATTATACGTAAAGCTATTTGTAGCGCAATAGTTAAATCTTCCATTACATCGTTGTTGTTGTCACAACCCAGTGCCCTGCGCCATTCAAACTCCATCTCTCAAGGAGCTCATACTTGTCTGGGTATCTACATTTTCATTAGGCAGTCATAGAAAAAGAGCTCTGTTTGTAGCGATTTTACCATACACGAGTTGGCATCTCAGTCTCGAAATATGACAAGTGTACTTTCTAAGGTTATAGCTGAATTCTCCGTAAGGTCGGATCCACCAGGGGAAGATGGTATCAAGAAGACGTCATCTTCGATCTATAGATATGACCGATCTTCAGATAAGTTGTGGAAATAGTTTTTTTTACCTCGTAGCAATGTGGCGAACCGCTGTTTTCTTCGCTATTTCAGAGTCGCACACCAAAAATAGTAGGCATAATTTCACTGTTCAATTTCACTGCACTGTTTTATCCTGATGTGGAAAGGCTTCACAATTTATAGGGCTCTTCGTTACGCACTAGCTTCTATTAGTCACTATTTGTTTTGTTTTTTATTTCTGTGTATAAACAAACTTCACAATTTGTGAGTATTCCGCAATCGGCTTGTTGTTTTGCAGCGAGTTCTCTGTGAGTTGAGCTGTTAATCAACGCGCATTCCACAGTCCCCTAATTGATCGTAGATAAAGTATAAATCATTTTTATCAATTGAGTGACAAATGGTCAATGTGACGAATTTCCCACATAGATGCTGAAATGCTGAAGAATGAGGGTGGCCAGGTAAGGCGATGAGACCATGGCTTGTATGGTTAGCGGCAACTCCAATATGTGGGTACTTACGTTGGTCCTTTTTTGGTTGTGCGACTTGTCTTTTTCTTAAACTAAAGTTTTGAGATTGCACTGGTTGGACGTTTTCAAGCACCACCGTAACCTCCTCCCTACATTTGTGGATTGGAAGGTGATTTATAACCTCGAGAGTAGATTGCTACTAGGATGACAGCGATTCTTTGAATTGGTTTACTCTTAGCCGTATGGGACTACCGAACACCCCAACTTGACCTTGCTGAAAGCATAAACAACCCTTTGAACACCGCAGTGGAACACCTAGCGAATTTTTTTGTAATTTTAATTATATAAAAAATAAACTGAATACAATCCATGTACTAAACACGATCCATACTATCCATCAGGCTAAAAGGGCTACCTTTTAGAACGCCCACTGATATCAGTCAATGAACCCACAAAATTATTTGTTGTCATATGAATAAACGTGCTTGACACGTTCAACCTACCGACGTTGCCTCTCGGTCAGTGCAACGCGGTAGATGATGCTCACGATTCCGAACAGTCCGAGCCAGATCAGATACTGTATCCAAACAGCCTTCCACACGGATCCTTTCCATCTAAAATGTAGTTGTACGATTACGACGCTGTTGTTATTAGTTCTCTTCCGCATACGTTTAGTGAACGCTAATGAAGTAGTAGCTTCTCATAGTCATCTTTTACTCCATATTGGTTTAAGTGAAATATTCCCGAAAGTAAAAATCTCTAGAAAAGAGATGAGTTTCTTAGGGCATAAATAACACACGTAGAAGTGTTTACTAGCTGAAAATTCTGTGTTTCGCTTCAGTGGAGGTAATTCAGAAATTTACAGTGATTAAACAATCACGATATTCTTACTACCTACTAGAATTCAGTTCCCGCAGAAAATGGATAGTTGTAGTAAACAAAAAAAACGGGTCTGCACTTACTACTAACCGAAAGAAAAGCCTAATGAATGTCCACGGACGCGACGTGGATACGGAGAGATTGTAATTGATTGTCATTTTACATAGCAATAGACAGAATCAATAGGTCTGCGAGATGTCAGCTGAAGGTTTCCGTACAGAACTCAGCCACGACTACGCGTAACGTTCTGGTATGCAAAGCCGCTTACTGGTCGACCAGTCAACGTCGCACTCGGTTCCGCATCGCCGCTCGGGCATAGGGCATCCAAATCGGAATTCACTTCCATAAACAACGAGTTCTCGAGTTTTAGCACCACTTTTTTCCATATTAACTGAATTTGTTCACATTCTCGTATTTAAAGAAGCCGGTATTCCATTCTTTGTAAATCTATTAATTACTCCATATGTTACTTCAACGAAGCAACCTCAGAAAATATTACTTTATCTTTGTACCTTATCATTTATCACCGCATTCTTCGTCGATGTTGTCGAGAACGGCATCTTCCCAACAATCGACTTGTGAATTGTACAAGTCCCAGTTTACGATGGACGTGGGACTTCGTTCTTTAGCGGCTTCTTCCCTTTTTCGCAAAAAAAAATGAAATATTTAGGGATAATAGTGATATTGGTTAGGCAAAACCTTCGATTAACTATGATGTGGTCTTTTTCGTTGCGGTACGCTTCATTGGGAGATTCCCACGTCCAGCGTTGAGGGTGAGATTCTTGAAACTGCAAGTTACCATGAATGGTCCTGGTCGTCACAATGAACTCAGAGAGCCGCTCACCCAGCACCTTCCATTCTAAACCATGTATCCCAATATGACGTTCTTCAGACTTCTTCTGGGTCCAATCTCAGCGTTAGAACCTCTAATGATGACCTTAAAGAATATACGACCTTCTCTGTACAAGTTCTCCAAGTCCTTGCAGAACGTTTTTAATTTATCTTCTCCATAGCTTGGTAATCGGTACGTAGACGACGAATATTGTCAAAACCGCTATTGATCCACATCTCTGCAGTCGTAAACGTCCGATTCGGGTTGTAAGTTGTTTGAATGAATCGATGTTCATAGACGAACTCGTGTTGACGAGTACACCAACGCCGACGAGTCCTCTACTGTCGCATATTCTGTAGAACAGTTCTTGTCCGGTGTCATAGATGGCGAGAAATGAGTAGCGTCTTCTCGTCTCAGCTAGTTCGATGAAACCGTTATCCTTCTTGTATCCATGATCAAGTCTCCTGTCGAGAACTCAGATGCAAGTGTGAGTGGTTTGTAGGTACAAATCTTCACTTAGTCGTTAGCGATTTAGGCCGCCTAGAATGGCCCTAAGATTTTAGCTGATTCTCTGTACTCGTCCTACGCAACGCTACAGTATCGGAGCTCTTTCGGGGTCACGGGAATGAGGCCCGTTTATTTTACTTTGTTCAGCTTTTTGATAATAACGTTTACCTTGCTGAGCTCTGAACGTGGGGCTAAGTATACTCACGGGCAGCTTGCCAGTCTGTCCCAGAACTGACGTGAAAGCTTTTTTTGTAGGCGGCTCCTAATCGCCTCCCATGTACTTCCCTGTTACTTCACTGCAGGGTTTTGGCCGAATTGACTCGTTGAATACAATCCGCATAAACGAGAACACACCCACGCATGCATGCATGAGTACGTCCTCGTAAATACAGATTATATAATGGACGCAACAGAAACAGGGAGTCCATACCCTGGATCCACCTGCGCCTCTGAGAAGCACAAGTCCTCTTTCTGTCCACGCTAACCCCCATCCGCCACCCGGAGATGCGCCACGTGACCCTGCCAGAAACAGGCCTGAAACCACTCTATGGGGAGGGTTTGTGGTGGATCTTATATAAATATGGATGTATAAAAACATGTACGGATAAAACTCTAAGGCCTACCTTTAAATAAGCTTGGCACTAATAAATAAGTCACTTTGTAATTACGGACTGCCTGGCCCGAAAGTTTTAACACATATTTTAGTGAACTGATTAGTAACAGGGAATTTTAATGAATCACATTATTATCACTTGTTTTAGTTTCCAACGACTAATATTTCGGCGACTTGACCTTCTTCAGAACATAGATGGGAATGCATTCATAGATTTCCTCTTTAATGAACATTCTACAATCTTTATAGAAAATCGGTATGCAAACTTCATACTATTAAGACACTCATAATTTTTTCCTTATTTGTATTTTCAGGCACCAAGAACGTTGGATGAAGATGCACCTGTTAGGCAAGTGTTAGGTCCATCAAGTTACTATCTCCTACGTTCTCGAGGAACTCCCTCGTTACAGTGAGATACGATCGGAAGATTTTGACCGAAGTGATGGAGAAATTTTGGACCTTCCGACGAGAAAATCGCAGTCTTTTATTAGGTCCTCCTTAGTCCGCCAAAAGTTTCTTTTCCTAAGTGTACGAGTTCGAATTTTCACACAAGAGCTCAGCTTGCTGTAAACCTATACAAAAGAGAGGGTCTGGTGATCAGATAGCATATGCAGTGCAAGTGCTTCCCACAAGAATTAGTTTTTGTTAAGTTATAGACCTAATAGAAAAGCATGAAAAACCACAGAAATTGAAAACATCAGGATGAAGGCAATATTTATTATCAAGGTTCTAGATAGAGTCAAGTAATAAAAACATACTCGTTCATTGCCTCTACTTTCGCTTCTCTCGCACAAACAAGGCCCTTGTGAGAATGAACAACCAATAATAAGTGTACAGCCGAAGAACAGAAGGAAGAATGCATAAACGTGGCGAGGCAAATAACCACTTCTCATGGCTAGGAAGCAGGAGTTCAAACGGCAAGCCTAGCGACAGAAAAGTCTCATAGTCTCATTGCTGAACAGAAGTAGAAAGAAAAAAGTCTCATTTGATTTGTCATTCGTCTCCAACGAAGTAAACACAGCTATAAAACGATGGTTATGGCATAAATTGCATAATTCGCTCTAACAGTAGAGATGGAGAATGCACGAGTTTTGGTGCAATTAATCTCTTGTAAAGCGTGTGGGGACGAATATATTGGGTAAACGGACATATCACGCTGCATTCGTATAAAAGAACCACCTAGTTGCTAAACTTAAAGTTAACCAAATGCTCGACTAAGCGTGAATAGGAGACTGAGGCATAACGGGGGAGATTTAAACGTAAAACTCACTATCTTTGGACAAGAATTTAAGATATCATCAAGTAAAACTCTTAAAGCACTTTGAACAAACTCCAAAAATCCAATGATGGCTAGCAGTGAGAAGTGCCATGTTACGAGACGAGACCTACATATATCTTAATATCTTCGACTTTTTTTAGCCTGAAAGAGGTAAATTAACCGTTCTACTCTGTGCGGTTGGTCTCCATCAATAAGTAGAAGGAAGACCCGTAGAAAACGGTGAGTATCTAAAAAAGCTGTTCCCTATGCAATTGAAATATGGGTTTCGGGTTATTGTGCTGGGGTAATGTGAGCACTTGGCTGATTCGATTGCACTCAAGTTGACTTTTCCAAGCTTTAAAGAAAGCAGCATCCACCGAAACGTCAGCTATTGCGAATAAATAGAGTAGTAATAACCTAGCCTTTGGTCATCAGGAAAGCAACGAAGATATAATGTTTAACATATAATATATTATATATAAAATACGCTTGGATGCTTAGATGGCCTGCACTCACTGGTTATGAGGGTCTCAGCATAATTTCCATTTTTTGGAGTTGCTGGTTTAGCACTTGTGGTTCCCTGGAGTCCCGAGGTCAGCCTAGCCAAAGCCTACCCCAGGTCGTCACCACCACAGGCAGTCGGCGCCCCTCTGCGTCAGAGTGAAATTTGCCACCATGCGACTAGTTTGGTGCTAGAACGGTGGCGGATCCTGGTAATGGCTTACTCTTAGCTGGACTTCCTGATGAAAGCGCTGGAAATATGTATTGTATATAATATACAAAAGGAATGCAGTGGTGGTGATGCCTCTCATCGCGAGCTTGATCCTGATTCGGCCTCGTTATGGTTTGTTCAAACCTATTATTTCTCCAGGATTGGGAAATTGGTACCAGAAAGAAGATCGCTGTTTGCAATTCACGTGCGAGCGCTCTAGCTTAGCTATCCAAGGACTCCATGTATAATACGCTTGACTAGCATTCAACGTTATTCACGACGAAGAGAAAAAAATTCCAAGCAGTAGCCGAATCTACATGCGAAAAGCTTGAAGACCTTAGGGTATCGTGGATGTGAGGAAACGAACCGAATGCAAGAAGTGCTGGCATCAGTGGAGTAGATGTAAAAGACGGGTCGTTTAAAATAAATAACTAAATTTTAACTTATTATTTACTGCCTACTCTTTTTAACGGCAGCGTATACATTGTGAAATATAACTTCAATGATGCTGAGGTATTTACAAAACTCCTGACCGCAGGTGTATGAGGTGGGGAACGAACGCGCTATTGTCCTTTCCGGGGAGTAGCGCGTCAACCACCACACCACGCGGGTCCCTCGTTCCGCCTGTCTCTCAGCTAGTTCTATCGATCTTTTGCCATCAGTAAAAATTGTGATTATAACTGCGGCCTCAGCTTAACTGGGTTCGTTGCCGATTTGGGCCTCCCAGATCAATCCCGCTGACGGGTGATTGCTGATGGCAGAAGATCGATAGAACTAGCTGAGAGACAGGCGAAGCGAAGGACCCGCATGGTGTGGTGGTGAACGCGCTACTCCCCGGAAAGGACAATAGCGCGTTCGTTCCCCACCGCATACACCTGCGGTCCGGAGTTTTGCAAATATCTCAGCATCATTGAAGTTAAACTACCAAATAAATAATAAGCAATATAGCTTAATATATAATACAGTGTACGTAGATACCTGATTTGTATGTTTTCAGCACCCTGCTGACCACAGTGCATCTTCTACTTGTTTCTTTTTCACGCATTCTCCTCTACGTTGGTGGTCTGCTTTAAGCACGGTGACATCCACGAGTGGTAAGCCATGTTCCAAAGATCGTTTCCATCTGTCAATGCAAATGGTTCACGTAATCCATGAACATTTAGGTTACCATCCAAGATGACGCTTGCACCTTTTGGGCTTCGCTTCACAGTTCTTTTTCGTCCATCTGTTATCGGTCTTTCCTGGTATGTGACCTGTTCGTCAGTGTTTCGCTATAGATGAATATTCTCGAAGATGTCGAAGATGGTATAGGTTCCGAAGATCCAAACTGCACACTCCGGCTAGACGTTGTACGTTTCGGCAAAATATCCGAAAACACCATCCATGCTCTCTGTGAGTGGTGCACAAAACTCTAGCATAGTTGAAGTATCAGACCACGTCTCCGTTGCATAACGATGCGCTAGGACTAGGACGGCTGAGTTAAATAGGTGAGCGCGGAGCTTCGGGTGCGCTAGCTGGTGGTTGACTTCTTTAAAAGGTGCAAACATAGTCCATACAGCTCTCCTTCTTCTATGTAATTCCTGTCCCAAGGATAACGTTGACCGCTGTTTCGTAAAACAATGTTTGACGCAGATTAATTTTTAGAGATGCGTCGTGCATTGGACTCTATTCATAGTATCATGGAGCTGGTATTTGGATCATGTAATCACTTCTGTAATCATCTGCGGTGAATTATCGGTATACAAATTCACTGTTGTCGTCCTCCAAGGTATGTTTAGTACCAATTTCCTAACTTCGGAAAGATGGAGCGCCTGGCTTACCTGGGTGTGGTATCGCTCCGGCGACATTGTGTGCATTGTTGGCCACCACTTACCACTGTGCTAGACATGCCATCAAAGCTGTGTTGGTAGTGATACTATTGAAGCAAACGTGGTGTGATTGGCGAGCGCCTCACTCCCATGTCGTCCTATTAATTTTATTATTAGTATTATTATTACTAGTTATCGCCCGACGTTTCATCTCCTGAATCCACCTGCGCATGAGAAGTGCCATTTTGTTTTTGCTCCGTAATTTCTAGTGGTCACTTCTGCTAGCCCACACAACTTCGGGACTAATAGGGTTCCTAATCATAATATGTGTATGGTGTTCCTATTCATTTCCTAGGATGGGTAAGAAAAAGGCCTAGGTAAAGGTCTGCGAAATATAGTTATTCTGAAAAGCAATTTAATGTAGGACACAAAAGTAGTGTGGTTAAAGTAAGAACTAATATGTAGGTAATTGTTACGGCCTACATTAGTTATATAAATACTTTAGCTTGTTGTTTGCTCCTATCGAGAACTCTCTTGTTCATTTCTTAAGAGAGACACCGTTGACTCTTCAAGTGATATTCTTTAAAGTTAGTCAGCAAGCTCTATTAAAGACCTAAAGGCAACCAACGCTGTGCATTGTTCCCTACTGCGTTCTTCTCTCGATCTCCATTCAATCTGTGATCCAGTCAAAATAACTTTTTCGCCTTCATACCAATGATTCTTCAAGAATTTAATTTGTTCACTTCATAGTCCTATCCTTTTCGTTCCACTGAGCTCAGAAATATTGCTGAAACGTTGTATCATCGTCTCAGAGTGGTTGTTGCAGTCGGTCATCGAGTTTCGTGGTAGAAGGTGTTAACATCTAAAAGGATCGATGGTAATCCCTACAGTCTCCTATGACCATGACCCTCGTGTCTGCATGTGATTAATGCAGATAAATTCCTTGCAAAATTGATCTTCTTCTAGAGGTTTCACTACATTTAGGTTCCTTGACATTCGTTTAAAGATGACTCGTCATCGTCAGATTTTACGAATCAAAAACATGAGATCATCGTTACGAGACGAATCGTGGCAAATAAAAGCAAAAAGCATGAAGAGACAGAGGAAATTCGTTATTTGTGGAGGATGTTGTTTTCAGATAGAATTTGCAAGACAAGGACAAATGTGGTGATAGTGAAAATAGTTAGCATAGGAATATGGGAAGACATAGATGCTATCGAAAATGGGAACCATTCAGTGGAATAGTTACTGTGCCATTGGTAGAAATGGCGCGTGTGGCGCAGTAGTCGGAAGCGTCCTTTAGTACACACATGGGATCGATCCCCGCGCATGTGGCTCAAGCAGACTTGTCGACAAGGATGGCACTGACTTGATACATCGGTTTCAGCAATTACTGGTTTGAAATTCAGATTGAATTATTCATGGTCGGTTTGGCGGACGTTCAAACTATTTCCGATTGCCCAGACAGCTTTGGCATTTCTTTGAAAGCGCTCGCTATATCTCTAGTTCGTCCCACAAAGGCAGTACCATCCTCTCAAAAAAAACACAACAACAAGCTGTTAGTAGTGGCGAACAGGTAGACAGTCCCAGGTTCAGCCAACGTGTTACACTAAAGAAACTGAAGTTTTGCAGTGATACGATAAGGTTCTTATCACTCTAAAAGCACTCTGGCTCAGCCATGCGCCAGAATAAAATGGTAGGTTTAAAATTATAAAAACTACAACTAAACTACAATGACTTAAAGTAAGCTTCCATAGTAGAATTAGTTATAGTCAAAAAGGTCTGTAGAGAGTAAACTCTGAAGCAAACACCATTTTATAAAGCTTGTTCTCATATGTATTCTTCCTTGATAAGCTTGCACGAGGTTGATAAATATATTTATTTTCGGCTAACGTTTCGACGTCTTCGTCTTCCTCAGAGCCGGTGATCCGAGTCGATGGTCCATGCTTGTTGTTCGCCTCGACGTTGCGTCTTCGCCTTCGTGTCGAGCCAGATC